CAGAGAAAAAGAGGAAGACCCCCAATGAGATGGATTGGCCAAGTGGCAGCATTGATGGGCTCAAGAGTGGCAACGATAGTGAGGTTGGCCCAGGATTGGGCAGTGTTTCGGTCTGCTGTGGGTCAGTAACCACTTGATGGCACCTAACAACAACAACAAGAAGCATTTTTGATTTGTGAGATAAAAGGCAAATCCTAAATGACCCTGTTCTAATATACATTGCTTTCCTGACTTTTTCTTTTGGAAACTCAACCAAATTTATAGTAAAGTTGCTTGAAATGTGCTATGAACTCCAATATGCTCTTTTTATAGACGCACTATATGGAACATTTTGCCATGTTTTCGTTTTCTCCCTTTTTACACACATTATCATTTTTGTTATTGTTACAGAACCATGTCTGTGTAAGTTGGAGACATGGTGGAGCTTTATCCCAAATCCTATCATGGATCTTTTGTGAACTCCCACTGCTGAAAAAGAAGTCTTTTTCAAGGCAGAGTATGACAAGAGTTTCTTGAAGATTTTATTTAAAAAAATGTCAGCCAGTCCAAAGAGAGAGACAGAGACAGTGAGGTAGAGGAGACACAACTGCAGGTCTCGAGGGCTTTATTGTTTCCATAAAACATATTTTTTCCATGTTCACTTTAGACACATGAAATGAAGGCTGCATTCCTAAGATAAAAATATTTTTACAGTATATTTTTTGGAAGGATGAAAGCATGTATTTTATTAACATTTCCCAAACTCTTTTAGGTCTGAGGCTGACAGCTTCCAGTCTGCAGACTGCTGCAATCAAAAATGCATGCTTCCTTTTTGTTTGGTTTTTTAAAGAAATTATACCTTTCAATTAATTAACTGAAGGGGAAAACTTTCCTTTCTTCTTTGAATCTGAATAGTTCTGATAAGAGAATTTTAAACTGCCTAGGTAGGACCCACCAAGTAGGATGGCAGGGAGGTATTCAGGTCTATCTTGCCTAGTGTGTCAAGTTTGCCAGCAGTTTTCTGGGGTTTTCGCTCATTGGTGGTTTGGGTCGCTCATTCATGATAGTCTATGGAGACCTTGCCCAGCACCGATGACCGGCCACGTGACGTCTGAGACCAGGGATAAACAGCACCCTGGCTATCCTGCAAAGGATTCGGTGTCCAAAGCCCGTCTCTGAGCTCACAGAGGTGTGGGGACTCTGAGGGGCAGCCCAGGTTTCCCTCCTAAAAGCCCAAAGGACTTGCCTGGAGCTGGAATTCGACAAAGCAACCTGCTCTAAGTCGCCACATCTGCCGCATCCCCAAGACCCCACCCTTATCTCTCCGCGCTCGCTAGCGACACCCTCATTCACAACACGGGGACTCCCCGCACCCATCACTCTGACAATCAATCCTGACCCTTTGGATGCGAGGAAGTGGTTTAGTGCTGGGACACGCTGGGTGCAGCGAGGCCACCAGTGACTCCCAGCGGCAGCACGGGGCTCTGCGCCCCCCTCGGCAAGGTCTCCTCCCGCCCTGCGTCCGCCCCGCCACCCCCGCGCCGCCTCCTGAGCCCAGGCTGGAGGCGGATTCCTCTCTCCGGGTTTTCGGAGCGCCTTTCCGAGACCTCCTCCCCGCCCAAGAGGGAGAGAGCCCAGGCGCAATCGCTCCCCGGAGCGACCGAGGGGCGCGCGGGGAGAGGCCTGCGCTGGGGTACTTTCAAACTGAGACGCGCGCACACACTGCCCCCCCTCCACACACATATCCACACACATATGCACACACACATACGCCCATTTATATAGACAGAGACAGCGGCAGCGGCCGGGTTGGCGGCGGCAAGCGTAGGAACGATGGAGTTGAGCCAGCCGGCCTCGGCTGGAAGCAAGTGAAGAGTATCCAGAAGCTCCCGGGCTTCCCGCGCCCGGTGATTGCTCCTCTCTCTAGGGAGCCGTGCACCCGGAGGGGACTGACTGGACTGATCTGCTGGGGGCGGGCGGGGACGAAGTGGAGGCCAGGTGAGCGAGAAGTCTCTGCGTACCCGGATAGCTGAACGTGCTGTGCCCCACTCCAGCCTGCTCTCTGCCCAGGTGGGCGCGCCAGCTACCCGCTCGCCAGAGGCGCGACGAGGAGACCTGAAAGTCGCCGCCAGACTGCTCAGGATGCCTTTCGCAAAGCGGATCGTGGAGCCGCAGTGGCTGTGCCGGCAGCGGCGCCCGGCGCCGGGCCCGGAGGAGAACCCGAGCGCGGGTGGCCACGAGCCCCCGCCACCACTGCAGCCGCCTGGCCAGCGGGACGAGGCCGAGGCAGTGGAGCCAGACGAACCGCCCCGCGCCCTGCCCGCGCCGGACAATCAGGCACCGCCGGCGCCGCGCGGTGAGCCACCGGCGGGCGGCGAGGACAGCCCGGCGGGGTCCCCGGAGGCGGCGGCCGGGTCAGGCGAGGCGTCCTCGGCAGCGGCGGCCGTACTGCTTATGCTGGACCTGTGCGCCGTCAGCAACGCTGCGCTGGCCCGCGTGCTCCGTCAGCTCTCGGACGTGGCCCGGCACGCGTGCAGCCTCTTCCAGGAGCTCGAGAGCGACATCCAGCTCACCCACCGCCGCGTCTGGGCGCTGCAGGGCAAGCTGGGCGGCGTGCAACGCGTCCTCGGGACGTTGGACCCCAAGCAGGAGGCAGTGCGTGAGTACTACCCGTCCCCTCCCGCCCCGCGCCGCGCCCTCGCGCCCTCCGCGGCCGCCGCAATACCAGCCCGGCGGCGATGTTGCCCACTGCAGCTCACACCTTCCTCTCCCTCCAACCCCTTCCTGGGCTGGGTGGCCAGGCAGGAAGGCCGGCGAGGACAGGGAAAGTTGAAGGGCCATCTTAGAAGTAGCAGGCAGCCGCGGATAGAGAGGGGCCCAAGGCGCGCAGATGGGCACCTAGGCAGAAGGGTCTGTTGGTCGCCTCCAAGGCAGCGCCTTCCACGTTCCTACCCCAGGGACCACTTCATTGATTTCCAGCGGCTCCGCCCGGAGCCCCGTAACCGACCCCATCCTTGCGGGTTAGGGACTCCCCGGCTGGTGGGTGTGTTTTCTGGGTTTCTGCAGCGCCGCAGCGTTTTTGTCACTCTTGCTGTGACCTCAGGGGCTGCGCCGAGTCCTGAACTTGTACCTCATGATCCTGTGAGACACAGAACGTGGCGCCGCTCGCCTCTAGGGACAAGGAGAGGGGTCCTGGGCCCCAGGGAGACTGAGGAGACGCTTGGGCCTCTTTTGCTGCCCAGAGCGGCTCAGGGTTCTATTGAATGGCTGTTTGTGCCATCTGCTCTCCGAGGGTCCTTCAACAAACACCCCTACATAGGCTGAAGTCTGGCTGCATGTGGATTTAAGTATGAACTAGTCCAATCTGGCTCGGGAAGGGGGTGAGGGAGGAGGTCCTGGAGACCCCAGACCCCTTTGCGAAAACCCAGGCTCCCTCTAAATGGTCATTCTGTGCCATTTGCCCTCAGAGGAACGCGCAGGCTGGTTTCCCCGCGGGTCATTGCCTAAATCATTGAAGCACTAACTGGCTGTGGGCCGGTCCCTTCGTGCCTAGTCCAGCTGCGACGCTCGTGGCGAAGGTGATGTCAGCGACTCTGGCTTACATAAGAAGCTTCCTAGGTTGCAGCAGCAGCTGCGCCGGTGCGCTGTGGCCACGGAGCGTGCGGGGTAGGGGTGTATTCGCGGCCTGGGTTCCCCGGGGTTTCCGGGCACCTGGCCTGCAGCCCGCCTGGGCCTCTTCACTGCTCTCCTCCTGCGAGTCCCACCCCTCCGCGGACCAATGCTTTGAACCCCTCCCCAGGAATTCGCTGCTTTTCTGCAATAACAATAACAATAATAAGCGTAATGAATAAATGATGTGTGCAATCAGTTTTCGCAGCTATAAAAGACCCGGAGTTGGGTTAATGACTGGTTGTTTAAAAGGGCAATTCCGGGGATGAGTTCTGGAAAGAATTAGGACTGCCTTAGGCCAAGTCGTATTTTACTTTTGGGACTTGAAATGAGCGCTTTAATCCTGCCTCCGTTTTACCTCAACCACACCACAGGGACAGGCAGGCCCTTCACTTAAAACAGCGTCGAGGTCTGAGGAGTGTGGTTGGGGTGAGTGGTGATTTCACTTCAAAAGAGCTGGAGGGAAGTTTTGCAGACTTTTGAGTGGTGCCTACATTTCCCCGTGCGTGCCTGCATGTGTGTGTGTGTGTCCGCTCGGTAAGCTAGGGTTCCTTCCTATGAATGAAACTCAGTCCTGAAGCAGAACATGTCTCTTTCTTTACAGACAGCAGTGGGAAATTGTGTGCCTGGAATTTAACACAGTCCTTTAAATAGTTTGAGGTGCAAACTTGTGATTAATGGAGAAAAGAGAATCTTCAGTGTGCACATACAGTTGATGAATCTATACTCTATTTGTGCGTATTTATACCGGAATAAATAAATAGAGGGGGCTTAATAACATCATCTCATATGCTATGGACTTGTCATCAGGGTGGAACAGTCCCAGGAGAAGGACTCTCAAGGAGATGAATTGACATGGTGGGGTGGCAGCAACAATGGATGGCTGTAAGGATGGCACAGGACCGGGGAGTGTATGACTCAGAACAGACTTGAAAGTACTCCTAACAACAACAAATCGTCCTGGGTGGCACAAAAAGTCACAGCCGTGACACTCTGCTCTCAAAAGGTCACGGCCTTGAAAACTCTGTGGAGCCCAGTTCTACCTGGGGTCACCATGAGTTGGAATTGACTCAAATGTAATTGGTAACTGGTATTATAATATCCAGGGATAGGCTTAAAATCTATTATTTTTAATCTTTCTAAGTCCTGGTGTGGCACTGTAGGATAAGCACTGGACTGCTAACCACAAGGTCAGCAGTTCAAACCCACCAACTGCTCCTCAGAAACCCTACACAGGATCATTGTGAGTTGGAACCGGCTTGATAGCGTATAACAACAAGAACACTATCTTCTGCCTGGGTCTAGATTTCTCCTCTTGTCTGTAAGTATTTAGGATGACATGGTGTTGTGAAAAACATTACTTTTGTGTGGAAATGCACAAGACTTTTAGTTTGGGTTTCCCAAAATGAAGCGCCTGAAACAATGATTTGGGTGTGAGTAGTTTAATTGTGAAGGGATCGCAGGAAGCTCACGGAAGAAGTAGGAAACCAGTCGAGAAGGAGGGATCACCACTACTGTAGACAATGCATGGTGTGTTAATGAGCTAGTTACCACTGGAGGCAACTGGGATTCAACCCAGCTGAAGAGGGAGGAAGCGAGAATATTTATCCACCAGCTTTCCTCCTTTCTTCCTTCCCTCATGGAAGTTAGCAACTGGAGCATGAACTCCGTAGCTTTTGAGGCCTGTCCCATGTGTGGTCGGTCCCAGCACATTCCCAGAGCCAGAGAACTGTCTTAGGCAGAGAGGTGCAGAAAGTCCTTTGGGATGGGCAGAAGGGGCAATAGTGAGGCACCAGAGACATCTGCTACATTGTGCATCTTCTGTTTGCATTGCTGAAGGCCAATGGGGGGCCCAAAGGGAAAGAAACCTAAAAGTGAAGCACAGTTCTCTTTTCTCCCCCATTTGAGGGTGTTTGCGTGGCACTGGACTGCTAACTGCAAAGCTGACGGTTCAACTTCACCAGCTGCTCCTTGGAAACCCTATACAGGGTCGCTTTGAGTCAGAACTGACTCTACAACACTTAACAAAAACAACAGCATTCTCTAAGTAGAGCCTGCCCCCTCCCATGCAGTCAGTGGATTTGCAGCGTCATCCTTGGACAGCACAGCTGCCTCTTGTTGCCCTAAGGCACCCTGGAGGAGGGTTTGCAGGAAGTGACAGGATCTGACTTCCATTTTAGTAAAGTCATTCTGGAGACAAGTCTGGAGACTGGTCGACCGGTTGGCTATTGTGACTGGTGATGGCAGCTAAGATGATAGCTGTGCAGACGGTGATAAGTGATTAGATTCAGATTTCATTTTCTAAACACAATTAGCAGTGCTTAGTGATTGCATTGCAGGAAAAAGATTAGGTTTTCTGCTCCCATAAAGATTTACAGCCTTGAAAACCCTATATAGGGTTGCTTTGAGTCAGAACTGACTCCACGGCACATCACCACCACCACCACCACCACCACCACCACAACCACTGATTGGATTGGGTACAGAGTGTGAGAATAAAAAGTAATTACAGATGACTTCTAGGTTTTCAGCTTAGACAACTCATACGTTGTTGTTAAATGCTGTGGAGTCAGTTCTGACTCATGACGACCCTCAAGGAAGTGGGTGGTGGGTTTGAACCACCAACCTGTAGTTAGCAGTCCAGTGCTGATACTATAGCATCACACAAGGATAAAGCTCATATAAGATGAAAATATTTACTGAACTGGGGATGACTAGTGGGAGAGTGAATATTTTATTGTGGGGGGCAGGGATCAATAGTTTTCTTTTTGACTAGTGTGACGCTTGAGATGCCTGATGTCTTAGACAACCAAGTGGAGGTGTTAGAGACAATTAAGTATATGGTTCCAGAGTTGAGGTAAAAGGCCTGGGCTAAAGACAGAAGGGCAGAGGCAAGTACCTGAAGCCTTGAAGCTAAAACAGTGTACATAGGAAAGAGAAAAGGACCAGGCTTGAGCCTGGGGCCCTCCAACCTTGTAAGTCTGGTAGAGGAAGAGAGAGGTTGAGAAACAACAGTCAGCCAGTGAAGCAAAACCCAGGAGAGGCTGATATGATGGAAGTCAGGAGAAGATGCTTCAAGAATGTGGATGTCAGTTTGGTAATAGGCTTCTCAGAGTAGGATGAGGACTGAGAAGTGACCTTGGAGTTTGGTAACCTGTAAGTAATTAGTGGTCTTGACAGGTGCCATTTTGGTGGAAGGGTGGGAACTACAGCCAAATAAGATGGCTTGGAGAGAGATCTAGAGGGACAGAAGAGGAGACTGTGACAATTGACAACTCTTGTACAAAATTTTGCTCTTAAGGGGAAGGGAGAAATGAAGCAGTAACTAGATGGGAGTGCATAAGATCCAGAAATCTCTTTAAAGGGTGTAGACACATAGGTATGGTTGGCTTACATGGAGAGAGGGAAATTTATGATGCAGGGAAAGGAATGGGAACATCTAGAAGTTCTTGGGGTGAGAGGGATGGGATAAGAGCACCAGTGGAGGTGGTCGGTTTGGTGTAGGTGGGAGCAGGGGAGTTTCATTCATGGGAGGGAAGATGCATTCAGGCAGAGATGCAAGTGGGACGCTTGTCAATTACAGTGTTCTTGTCGATTACATTGATTTTTTCTCTGTGAAGTGTGTGGCAAGGCTATCAGGCGAGAAGACATCGGGAAATGTGTGAGAAGAAGGGAAGTTGCCTCAGAGAGGGAAGGCAGATGCAGTAAGGAAGTGTAGTAGGCTTATTTGGGTGCATTGAGAACCATCTGAGATTGATGGTCATAAACTTAAAGTGAGTTTAGCCTTGCTGTCACTCAAACCTTAGACTTTGGAATTACTTCATGGGCCTCAACCCTAAGCTATTCATTCATAGACATTTTGATGATGTTGGCTTTTTGGTTACTGATTAGATTCAGTTAGTGAATTTTAAAGTAAAATTTATATTGAAGCTTAACATATTTACAGAGAAGTGCACAGATCAGACAGTTAATTTTCACAATGTGAACACA